ACAGAAAAGCAAAGTACGTCTTCCAAAAGACCTCCAAACTCAAAAGGAGGTTCCAACCTCAAATTTGTAGGCTAAAGAATGCCAATGGACAGATAGTAACTGATTCAAAGAAGATCAAATGAAGATGGAAGGAGAATACTGAAATTCTGTATTCTACTTAGAACCTCTAATACTAGAAGATGAAGTTAGATCAGCACTCCACTCATTGCCAAGTCAGAAGGATATAGAAATTGATGGAATATACACAGAAATATGGCAAACAACAAAAGAATCAATACTTGTCCTAACCAAGCTATGCCAGCAAATCGGGAAAATAACATGCTGACCAAAGGACAATCTACGTATCAATACCAAAAAAAGGATACTTAACAGAGATTGAAAATTATTGTACATTCACATCCTAGCAAAATAATGCTTAAGATCTTCCAACACAAATTACAGCCCTACATGGGAAGGGAGATGCCAGATGTTAAGTTGATTTTAGAAAAGGCCAAGGAACACAAGACATTATTGCTAATGAATGCTGGATAATTGAGAAAGCCAAAGAATACCAACAAGAATTGATATGTGTTTCATTGATTATAGAACAGACTTCAATTTTTTCAGTCGTGTCAAGCTATGGAATGTTCTTAGAAAAATGTAATTCCCAGAACATTCCACTATCCTTATGCAAAACATATACACAGGTCAGGAAACCATATTCTAGATGGAACATGGCAGAACAGATTACCCCCAGGTTGGCAAAAGTGTGAGACAAGGCTCCATAGTCTCCCCTTATTTATTCAACCTACACGTGAAATATATATTGAGGGAAGCTAGATTGGAAGATGGATGTGATTTCAAATTTGCAGGAAGAAATTTCAATAACCTATGCTCTGCTGATGATACTATTCTGATAGCTGAAAATGCAAATCAATTGCAAGCTCTAATAATGAAAGTCAAGAAACATGGTGAAAAAATGGGACTAAGATTAAATATAAAGAAGACTAAGCTAATGGCAACAGGTATGAAAAGTTGCCTTAGAATTGACAGTGAAGGATTGAAGTGATGGATAGTTTCTGCCTTTTAGGATTGACTATCAACAGTAAAGGAACCAGCAGTCAAGAAATACACTGCAGATTAACACTTGGTAGAGAAAGCAGGAAGGCCTCAGAAAACATATTCAAATGCCATATGTCTATACCTAAAAAGACAGAGTAGTGCAAGCAGTGGTATTACTTGTGAGACTCTACAGAAGCAAAAGTTAGACTTCGAAGAAGCAGGATAGGAAGACTTTTGATGCTTTTGAACATTTGCATTAGAAAAAACCCTTGAGAATACCATGGACAACCAGGATAACAAACAAATGGATCATCAAACAAATCATCCCAGAGGTCCCACTTGAGGCACAAATAACCAGACTCAAATTATCATACTTTGGATACATTATGAGAAGACCTAACTCTCTGGAGAAGTCTATAATGCTGGTAAAGGTAGAAGAAAAGAGAAGAGGACAACCAGTAGCATGGTGGATGGACTCATTTACAGCAGTGTAAATGGATGCACTGTTGGAAGACCTGAAAGACCAGGTTTGGACAGATTGTCATGGAAAAAATATATCTATGTGGTGATTAAAATTGATTGATGGCACATAATCAATCAACTAACACTATCACATAAAGAAACAAGAACAATAGAATCTAATGCATTAGTCTGTATAGGTCCAAACAGCATAACTGAGATTATGACCCTTGGAATCAAACTACAATTCTACAAACTGTAGAAGTGTCAACCTATCCTCTCAAACTTTTTCCAAGAACCATTGCAGAAAACTATCATGGAATTCCATCACTGACAATAATATCTGCATCAGAAGAATCGTTACTTCTATTTGGAATGGAACCAAATACATTTGTGTAATGCAAGACATCATTGAGCAATTTATTATTCTTCAAAATTGTATAATAAACAGCAATCTGGTCTAGGAAAAATTTAAAAATACTTGAATAGAATGTTAAATACAAAATGTCCTGACCAACAAAAAGAAGCTCTAAATCAACTCACACCAAATGTCAAAACTAACCAGGCAATAAAATGTTAAAAATGAATAAAACTCCAGGACCTGATGGTATTTCTGCAGACTATTACAGGACTTTTCAAAAAACCCTGACTACACCTTCAGCTCAGGTAATGAACAAGATTCAGGTACCTACAGAACCTCCTCATCATGGAAAGAGGCTTTTATTTCCTGGATGTATAAAAACAAAAAGGATTCAATTCATCCTGAAACAAATCTTACTGAATGTGGATTACAAGCTCGTCACAGCAATTCTTGCAAAGAGACTAAATGTTGTTTTAATTAAGATACATCCTGACCAGAAGGGCTTTATCCCAAAGAGACATATGAGAGGTAATATCAGATATATTTTAACTGTTATAAGGTAAACCAGAAAGACCAGCTTGCATATCAACTAACAGACTTTAATATTACCGAAAAGGACAAATGCTTAGGATTTTTTTTACAAAAAACAATACATCTCTATTTAAAAACAATTATTTAACAACCTGGAAACATATAACAACAGATATTTCTAGAGGAAAGAACTACATTTTTTATTTCAAATGATTCCAGTTTCCAATAAGAATAAGGTACCAGATGACTGGCATTGACAAATAATGAATTACATATGGTTGGTACATTACTCGAGTTATGATTGCTAAAATGAGTATCTCCTTTTCTGTGAAATGCTGGAAATGCAACCAACAGATTGGATTCTTCTTTCATATGTGGTGGCAATATTGCAGAGCCCAACAGTACTGGAAAATAATTCATCATAGAACAAATTTTGCAAGTCGCAATTCTACTTCATCCTGAATAAACTTCACTAAATCATACATTCCTTCAAAGTATACTGAGTTGGCATTGTATATGTTAACAGCTGCTAAGATTTTATATGCCTTTTATTGGAAAAGATCCTATCTATGGAAGAATGGCTAACCAAATTGTGGGAATATGCTTCAATGTCTAGAATAACTTATTTAAACAGTACATTTGATGTATAATTCAATCTTATTTGGAATCCAATTTTAGACTACAACTTGCACGTTTCAGAAGAGTGCCATTCCTGAAATTTGAGTTTTAGAATTTATATTTTGACATATAATCCACATATTATCTACAGTGCTCTCTTAATGTATTATCTAGGTTTTTTCCCCTTCTTATTGATTTTAATTGTGCTAACCAAATATTTTTAAAGTTCATAGAGACATGATTTATCTAGAAATTGGTTATGTCTTACAGTTCAAGCTTTTAATGGTATATTAGAATATATTAGCTGCGTATTTTAGATTCATGGCTTATCACACATTTGTTGGCTATTCATTGGGTCTTTATATTACCTGTACCATTTGTTATATTCTTTTACACTTGTACTTGTATTAGTATTATCTCGTTTTCGTCTCCTTTTGAAAATTATAATACCCAGCTTGTACAAGCAAATAAATAAAATGAATATATGCATAAAAAGGCCCACCAAAGAAACACTCAGTTTTTCAACTCAGTTTTGTAGGTCTCATGATTAGAAAATAGATTCTGTGACAAAGGTTTCATAAGTGATTCTGTCACTTACTAATTCTGGCTGGATTGCATTTAGCTTGTTTATGATCTGTTTCAATTGTAATAGTTTTGGCCTGTGTGCTCCCCATTTAGACAACACCACTAGGGGGCACTAAAGCCATACATCTTTTCTTCAGGGGTAGGGAAATCCAAAAGAGACTAGTCAAATTTGTGGTAGAATGAAGTAATTAATAAGCACAATGTCTAGTAGGACATGAGGTCATGCCACGACCTTTGCAGAACTGACGTGCTGAAAGGGCTTACTAAAGAGCCATATCCCCTTTCTGAGTAAGATATAATCGAGATGACTCAGCTGAGTTCAGCAAGTCCTATCAGACTAACAGTAGGTTAAATGGAAGAGTAACAATGAAAGCGAGTAGGAAAGCAGGTGGAGCTAAAGGCCCTGCAAATTTCAGGGATGAGAGTGTTGCGCCACTGTCATAAAGCAGGCCTAATATAGAATGAGAATGTTACCGTATCTCAGGCCTATCTTCAACAGAGGGTAGTTTTCAAGTACAAATCCATTTCCTGAAATCATTTAATTGGATGTGGCTGTGTATCTTCCACCTACAAAGAATATGCTCTGTTAATGTATAACTGAGTATTTCACTCCTTGGAAGAATTAAGACATTTGACCAAACTGCAGATGGAGGAGGAAGAATCTCTGTAGATCACAAACCATAATAATGGCAGAAAAAATGCCTCCTCAAATAGTTTTCATGTATTCTCCATCTATCTGGTATCATTCTCCACAAAATGCCTCTGTGAATTAAGCACTGAGGTCATCGGAATCTGTATTATAGGGGATGAGTTGTTTGAAATGTGTTCATTCATGTCATTTAATGTGGAAGCACACGTGTATATATATCAACACAATTCTTATATATCTGACAACAGCAACTTTTTGTAGGTTTTTTAATTAGTTCTGAGGGCCACAAGGAACACTGTAGTGAAGTTACTACAAGAGGCATGAAATTTTCAGCTAATTTCCCCCCCCCCCCCCTTTGGGGAAAAAATTTTATTTTTTGGGGTAGCTTGTTGGGGTTTTTAAAAAAAAAAAAAAAGGGGGGGGGGGACGTTAAACCTGATAATGGCCTAATGCACCCTACAGCGTATTTTTTACAAAAAGCTGTAGAAAAAGGCACCATTAAAAATAAACGTTTTGCTATTGAATTTAAGCCTATACAGTCCTGAAGGACAGCATTCAATTCAGGCACCCCTCTTCTACAAGAATATTAAGTATCATAAAGAAAGTGTGGCTGTAACAGGAAAAATTCTTTA